GTAAAGTTAGTGTTGCTTTAATTACTTGTAATGCAGACATGTTCTGTGACCTTCTTGTGGTGTTCTTACTTTGACTTGTTCCTTTACAGCATTAAAACTAATCCAGAAGTCTCGGCCTGTCATGTGAAGTTCTCCTTTTGTTGACCCAACCTCTGTGAAGACCTGAGCGTCTACCAGCAAATGTTCTTGGAACAAGGGTGCAGAAAAGGCACAATATTGTAGTCCCTTGTCTACGCTAATATTAATGCTCTTTAGGCACAGTGCTGTTTGTCCTCTGGATTATTTCTGCTGTACATGCAGGCAATCATGTAGACCCCCCCCCCTTCCTATTCACAGCTGTCTGGCAATTCCAGAGTCCTAATGTTGGCTTTATTCCAGATGTTACCCAACTCTACACATCTTTGTTCAAGCCCTGGTCAGTCAAACCAGAGGACACAAACTGCAGGTTTCATTTTTATTTCTTCAGTAATACCTAAAAATGTTGTATATGCAACAGTCTAGTTTTGATGTTGAGGTTAACATCAACCTAATGTCAATTTAACATGTACTATGTCTTCTAGGTGAGCTGGGATTTGGAGTTGGATGTGCTGCTGTCCTGTTCCTTGAGTAACACGTGGCTTGATTGTTGGTTATTCCATCAGCAGATGATTTGTAGTCAGAGGCTCCAAGTCGTTTGGGTCATCTGATAGTTTAGTAATCTGTCGTCATTCATAATGGTTTCAACTTCGCACAAAATTACAACTGCTTTGGTGCAAAACTAAGCATCTGCTTGTGGCCACTAGGGGGGCCCCTAAGAGCACATAAAATGATAGGTTTGTTTTTTGGTGATTGTTAATGGACAAATGGTTGAGGGTAATTATACAAAAACACAATATTAAATCAAAGAAAATATACTAATGGGCTGTAGCAGGGCGCAAACACAGTCGGACTGTGATTATTGAAGGTGATTTGAAGAGACTGCAGCAAAACGTCACAAAGGACATCCTTCTGGTTCAGAGGAGGGGGAAAAAAAGTGGCAAGATAAAGGTATGTTAAGATTTCAAGTAAACTAAAGGCTATGTTGTGAGCTAATGTTAGCTGGCAGTTAATAAGCAGTCTAGGTAGCATGTCTTGTTTTAGGAAAGTTCATGATTGATTGATTAAACATCCGTAAATAGCCTTTGGCATCTTAATATATATTATAATACAACATTACTTGGCTAGTTTTAGATTAAAGTTATCCATGTAAACATTTTCCTGAGTGCTTATTTTTGTAATAAAAATAAGCTTCTGCTCCATAAACTTGGTACTGATAATAACTTAACTTGACTACCTACATTAACCTACCTTTTGGGGTCTTTGCTATTATATTCAGATATCATTATGCTTTAATTAGCTATAGATATAAGTTGTGTACAGATGGCTTACTGTGTTTAATGATTTGTTTAAATGTTCTGTACCCTCAACTATACCCTTGTGAAACTTCCCTAGGAGCTCTGAAATATTTTGGAGGTGGGACACAACCAAATGCAACCAGGCCCAAGTGCCAGTGTTACAGCTGATGATACAGCAGGTGAGTATCAACAATCCCAGATCAATAGTTTTATGGGTAACCCATGACTTTTGTGAGGGTTTTTTTTTTTCTTTTTTTTTTTCTTGTTTTCCTTCCTTGGACAGACCGTTGCATTACCTTCTAACATGGCTAGCTTTTATTATTTTCGTTTTTCATCAGATCCATCCTCTGCAGGTGAGGAGCACTTACTAGCATCTGCATCCACGGATCCTGCTGTTCCTTCCATGTCTGTTTCAACCTCTGCAGATGCAGCAGGTAAGTTAATAGTACAGCAGCCATTGTATTTGCTCAGTTTACTGTAGAATATTGAATTTAAAAATGTAATTTCATTTATAGGTCATTCTACTTGTGGTCATTGAGATCTATCACATCTACTCTTCAACTTTCAGCCTACACTATGGACCAGAAGCTCCTCCAGTTGACCCAGCTAAGTGGTCATCTATCCTGTCTGACTCTGGAAGGACTGATCTGGTAAGCAGAGGGTCACTGCCTAAAAAGGAAAACCTCACATTCCCTAAATAAACCTGATGGCCGACGTTTCCACTACACCTACAGGCAAGTAATTAACGGGGGAGGGGAAATCAAGCGGAGTCCGTTTACATTTCTTTTATATAAGATACTGTTTATCTTGGTTTTATTTGTAGTTGATTGATCTTCACTTTTGTACATTGGTAATTTTTAACTAGAAGCAATTAAAATGGTTAACTTGTTTACAGTAAATGCATTGTCTGCTGGTTTATTTGGCTACTTTTCAGTACACCAGCATGCCACTTAATACTGTAAGACTTTGAATGTTAAAGTGCAAATTAACAGCTGACCACTCTTGTGGGTTTGCTGCTGTTACAGTTAAGAACCGTAGAAGGGTAAAATGCCAGGCAGACATTGATATGATGTAAGCAACAAGGCTACAACAAATAAAATTGATAATGTTTGTGTTGGATTTATAGTGTGTGAATCGAGCATTGACCGTAGTCCATAATATTGGTGGCACAGAGAGGTCCCCAAATAAAATTCTGCTTGGGGGGCCCCAATAAAGGCTTGGGCGTCCCTGACTGGAACTATAGCAAGAATGCATTCATTGTTTTTGGCTCCAGTGTACCCACATGACCTATTAAAGTAGTAGTTCTTGTACTAGTTTTGTTCTCACAACTGCTGGATGTGGAACTGTCCTCCTTTTTGAATGTGTATTTTGGAACATTCTTGACTTTTTTTTGCAATCTTTGCTCAAGTGCCTTTTACGTGAAACATCTGGTTTATAAACTTTAAATTATGTGCTTGATCCTTAAATTTGAAACCGGAATTCAAAGCATGGTTCTCTCAACTGAACATGCGCACAACGCATGCCGTTTTGTCAAGTTAGGGTTAGTCAACAGGTTTGGTCAACAGAACAGCTTTCTCCGCCCTTTTCATTTGTAGAATTGAAGTTGAACTGGTTGCTGATGTGACAGAATTATCCAGATGATGAACTTGCTCCTTGCTTTGCTTGCCCCCCCCCCCCGATTTAAAAGGACTACTAAGCTGTTGGCCGGTTCAGTGTCCTCGTACTTTGCAGCACTTTCATCTTGCAGGTTCTATAGCATGAACCAAATTCCTTTCTTTCTCCCCCCCACACACACACACACAAGCAAGAACTACTTGCTTTTATGTGTGCGTTCAACATTTGATTTGTCAATTTCTTTCTTTTGAGCTATTTTTGGCTTTCTCAAATGGAGTCTATTCAGAGGCTTCTCTTGTGCTTTATACATCCACTTGACTGCCCTCTTGTGGCCAATTTGAGTCAGCAGAATCTTGTTTTGTCCATGTAGTAATTTTAAAAACCACTTGTTTAAAAGTTAAACATTTTACCTTGAGTCCTGTTTCAAACTGATGAGTTTAAATCCTATCCGAATGGGTAATTCGCGCTTGACTTTTGGCTTTCATTATGTGCTGTTGTGGTCTTTCATAATCATTGTAAATCCTCTTTACTAAAAAAAATAAAATGATGCCGCATCAAACCTGGCCATCCAATTTACACCATGCAATTCCAATGTAAAGTCTTTCGACTAAAGTGTAGTGGTTTTCTACTATCTTTATGGTTGTCAAATCCTTTGTGCCCAACCCCTGGAAATGGCAGTGTAACAATGTCAGGTTACAACCGAAATCAAACTTGAACTATTTTACATTTTTCCAAGCTTCAAATTAAATATGGTTTTAAGGAATTGTTAAAAGACCATATTAAACCCTAAAGACCATTCTAAATATGAAATTGACCAAGTCATGTGATGCAGTATAACTTGAGAAATACATGCATAAACATACAAAAATCACTTTCAATATTAAAAAATGCTCCTTGAGTTACTTAAGGCTCTAATAGAGTCCCATCTTATGCTTTATGCTGTTGTCCCTGTATTATGTTTTTTTTTTTTTTTTTTTTTTTTTTTTTTCTTCCTTTTATCTTTTGTGCTCTTTGGACCTTTTCTAGATGGGGTTTTCCTCCTCTGTTGTGCACTTGTTTATGCTTATGACTTTTCTTATGTCCTTTTTTAAAAAATTTTACCCCTTTTTGTTTGGCATTTCCTTTTTGTATACTTTCTTGAGTCCATGTTCCATTTAGTTATGGTTTTGATCTTGTATTTATGCCTCTTTTGTTCAGTGACTTTGATAATGGCCCACTTTTTAAAAAAACATTTTTTTAATTGGTATTTGTTCCACTTTCTAAGTCACATTTGAAGAATTTAAATTTCACTTTCTCCCATTTATGGTTTTTATTTGTAGAACTTTAGCCTTTTAACTGTCACCCGTCCCCTCTGTGGGACGCCTAAGTTTACTTCACTATATTACAATTAAATCCTAATCTAATCATGACCAACTATATATTGTTGGAAAGGTCTAAGACTCCTAAATAGATTTTACCAATGTTAAATTATTTAGGAAAAGTAATGGATTAATTTGACAAGAGTGCACCTCAAAAATCTACATAACAGGAGTTCTGACCTTTTGTCAAAAAGTGTTCTTTGTTGCTGTCTCTATCACACTTTAGAAATCATCAGAAATTATATATCAATTAAACTTTAAATCTCAAAATTCATCCTTTTGAAAACCATTTTAAAATCAAACATTGCATTACCATGAAAATGGTACATCAATATCATGTTACAAAATGCTTTCGTTCATGAATTATAAAAATGTAAGTTTGGATCGTGCACGGTCACGTTAGTTCAAAAATGTGAGTGACGGTTAACATCTTAACTTCAGTTTTTAAGATCGGTTTGTCACAGGACTAGGAAAGTTTGTTTTGCGTAATGCATTCGTGCAACTACTTGTTCTGTATCTTGTGCTATGGAATTTTGACTTTAAAACGCTATCAGTGATTTTGTACTTGCAGCATCAGCTCTGATGCAAAAACTTCAGCCTTCTGTTGAGACCTAACTTCTATAGATCTGAATCTATCTTGACCAGTCAAAACAAGGTTGCGGCAAAGGCAATCTATATTACTCTTTTACTACTCTAATGTGCTTTCAGCACATTCCTGATTGTCGCCTACTTCTAATTCAGGTGCAGGAAGTGATGCAGTTCTACTAATCAGTTTTTCTTCTGTACATGTTAGGGTTAGAGGTTAGGTTAGGGATTACAGATCCAATAATCAGAACAAAGTCCAATTACGGTTTATGCACGGTCCTTGGACCCAACTGGCCACCAATCTGCAGCTTCCAGAGACCCAGAAATATTTTTCTGCTGATGCAAAAAATTCCCAAAGGGCCCAGAAGACTAGTGGCTATCTCTCTTAGGTTTCCACGACCCAAGGGGTTGGTAAGTTTAGGTGTGTGGTGTAGTACACGTTTCCTCGAAGAAAGAAATACTGAGCACATCATCGGTGGAGATGAAGGAAATAATTTTTCTGAGGCTCTCTACATCACCCAGACTCATGATGGAGGCCTAACGTTCGTGTGTTCAAGCCTATCGCGACATTTCGGACTCTGTGATCCTTCCTCAGGCGAGCTCTGAACACTAAATGGCTGGAATTCTCTACAGCAGCCATGTATGTACTGTTTTTCTAAGGGGGCGTGTTCCCCCACACACACGAAATCACCAAACATCAAACATGTTGTGCTTCAAGATTAAATTTATTGTCAACAAACCGTTGTTTTTATTGTTTTTGCATCCTCAAAAAAATAAATCCAGGACTCCAGTCACCACAGAGAGGCCCAGAGAGCAGGCACTGGCTTGGTTAGGGATTACAGATCCAATAATCAGAACAAAGTCCAATTATGGTTTATGCACGGTCCTTGGACCCAACTGGCCACCAATCTGCAGCTTCCAGAGACCCAGAAATATTTTTCTGCTGATGCAAAAAATTCCCAAAGGGCCCAGAAGACTAGTGGCTATCTCTCTTAGGTTTCCACGACCCAAGTGGTTGGTAAGTTTAGGTGTGTGGTGTAGTGCACGTTTCCTCGAAGAAAGAAATACTGAGCACATCCCATCATCGATGTAGATGAAGGAAATAATTTTTATGTGGCTTTCTACATCACCCAGACTCATGATGGAGGCCTTACGTTGTGTGTTCAAGCCTATCGCCACGTTTCGGACTCTGTGATCCTTCCTCAGGCGAGCTCTGAACACTAAATGGCTGGAATTCTCTACAGCAGCCATGTATGTACTGTTTCTAAGGGGGCGTGTTCCCACACACACACACGAAATCACCAAACATCAGGCATATTGTGCTTCGAAATTAGGGTTAGGGTTAGGTTATATAGATAAATGCAAAGATTGATCACCCCTGAAGTGATTGACCCCCCTATATCTAGTGATCCGTAGGTGCTAGAGAGCTGAAACTTGGTTTATATACTATATGGGGGACCCCCCCAGTCGTTTGCATATGGTTTGGTAGCTCTAGCGCCACCAGGTGTCGAGTTATGGTATTGCTCTCCCAGTTCTGTTGCATCTAGAGAGCTGAAATTTGGTGTGCATACTAATTGGAGGACCCCCTGTCGATTGCACTTAGTTTCAACGCTCTAGCGCCACCAGGTGTCGAGATATAGTACTGCAACTATACTTGAGTTTCGCAGTGCTAGGGTTAGGGTTAGGGATTAAAAGATCCAAAAATCGAAACAGAGTCCGATTTCGGTTGTGCACTGTTAGGTTTAGGTTAGGTTAGGGTTAGGGTTAGGTTTTGAAAATTACAACAG